GCCCACTATTATGCCAACACAGCAACAATAGCCTCAAACATCTGAGTCTGTTCTCTAGCAAAGCAGCAATTACACATTAAGGACACAAAGGCTTAGAAGCCACATTCTGACCTCAGAGAGCCACACAGGGCAAAGTCGGGATGCAGGGCAAACAAGAGGTCCCAGAGCACCATGGGATGCAGACCACGGACTCTGCCTGCCCCAAGATGGCCGAGAGGCTTCACAGAGGCGGCTACTGCCGCAGGAGTCTGCAGGCAGGGATGTAAGACATGAAGGGAACTTGTGGGATCAGCTGTCCTCACATGGCCAAGAACAGAGTCCCAAAGTTGGAAATGTGGCAGTCACGGTCAGGGATTGCTGAACTATTTGAGTTACTAAAAGTGATCATGTGTATAAGGGGGCAGAGATGGTAAGAAACCGACAAGACAGAGGACCAGATGGAGATGGGAGGGCTAGAGTTCCAGCAAACCATTCATTGGTTTTATGCAATCATGGCTGGGAAAGTCAAATCCACAGGCTAGCCTGGAAGCTCCCAGAAGCTGTATCATAGGTGAAATCTCTTCTACACCTAATCTTGGTGCCAGATTATCTAGATTATCTAGAATAAACTTAAAGTCAAGAGCTTCTAGACATTAATCACCTACAAAATAACTGCATAGATGGGATTCTGGATATTTGTGATTTTTGTCTCAACTAAAATTATGTGTAATTTCTCCAGGCAGTGGTGGCGCCTGCCTCTAATCCCAGCACTTGGGGGACAGAGGCAGGAGGATCTCTCTGAGTCGAGGCCAACCTGGTCTACAAGAGCTAGTTCCAGGACAGGCTCCAAAACTACAGGAAAAAAAAAAAAGGAAGGCCCTTGGTAGTAGGACACAACAGGTGGGAGTGCAGTTCCAGCCAGAGGCAGAAAGACAGGACACCGTTGGTGGAAGACAGCCACACAGGACGAAGCCACATAACAGTGAAAGGAGGTTGTTTTAGTGTTTGTTTCCACTTTGGTTAAATGTGCCCTCACATTAACATTTAACCAAACGCTCCTATGACAGACACCATTGTTTTAATATAGGTGAAGCTGGCAGGATGTGACTAGGATAAATCAAGGGAAGAAACCCAGTCTGTGTGTTAGAACCGCACAGTGTGGTCACCCTCCTGGTACCTTCTGTGTTCCCACAGTCCCCAGCTGGGGCTGGAGCTGGGCCCGTAACTCAGAGCAGTAGAGAGCTTGCCCACCTGGCATGCACAGAGCCAGGTTTGATATCCCCGCCCCCATGCACACCGACATATAACTGTCATCCCAACGATCTGGAGGTCCAGGCTGGAGAATTGAAGTTCAAGGTCATCCTGAGCACTGTAAGACAGGTCTTTAAAATATTAGAGTGCACCAAACTCTCCAACCAAATGTCTCTTTGTTTTAACCTTGGGGGAACCAGGGAGGAAAATAGGTTTGTCATAAATTTCTTTTGGGCCAACATCTCATTTTCTCAAGACTGATTCAGGAGAGGTCAGCTCATTGACAGTCCCTGCCTGCCCTGGTTTCCAGCAGACACAGCATCAACCAGCCTGAGAATTCTTGGGCCGAGAGGAAGGCTGGGGTTTCTAGAACTTCTCTTCCCCTCCTTCTACCTCATTCTGTCTATCCCTGAAACTACAAGGAAAAGTTCCAGAGGGAGAGGAAGAATGGCTGAGGGTCTCTGTGGTACCTTGTCTGTAACTATTCCAGTAAGGCCCAGTGGACCCCTGGATTAGTGGGATGAACCTGGGAGGGGCTGGAGAGGCTACAGGCGCTGGCCTGACCCTAGCAGAAGATGAGTCAGGAGCACCAGGTTAGGACTAGCCGTGAACCGTCTGGCCTATCTGTGGGCACACTGGAAAGCAAAGGGTCTCCAACCTTCTGGTCTGATGTGATACAAAGGGAAGGCCTGACCCTGTCCTGTGCCGTGGAGCATTGTGTGATACTGCTTAGACCCTTCCTTGGAAGAGTGAGACACTGACCAACTAACTCAGAGTCACAGGCGACCCCAAGGCTAAAACAACAACAACAACAAAATACTAAGAGGAAGTTTCCACAAAAGATCTAGATTCTATGCACCTGCTCCTGGCAGAGCCAGTTTCATCCCTTCAGTGGCCCCAAGAACACAATGACAGAATGAGGTCAATGACTCCTCCTGACAGTCAAATCTCCCTCTCCCTCCTGAGGAGAAAGAGGAGGGAAAAAAGTGGCAATTGCTCAGTTTTAGGGAGTTGAGAACAGCCAGTTTAGGATAGGAGATGGTTCAAACACAGAATTCCACCCTGAGCTGACTCTATCCAGAACACCCTGAGAAAGCTAACAAGGGGATGAGCAGGGCGGGGCTGCCCGGCCCAGAGTACCCTAAGGAGTTAGGGCTGAATTGCAGGAAAGATGGACTCGCCCAGGTGATATGGGTAAAGGTTGGGGGCAAAGGGTGGAGTATCATGGTAGAAATTAAGAAAGAAATATTGGTCTGGTGGCTCAGACATGTAATTCTAGCAACTTAGAGACTGGGATGGGAGGATCACAAGTTCAAGGTTATCCTGGGCAACTTTGCAAAGCCCTGCCCCAAAACATTAAAAGACAGGGTTGGGCTTAGCTCAATAGTAGAGCACTTGTCTAACATGCATGAGAACACAGCAAAAGTAAAAAAAAAAAATTAAATATATACTCACATACATGGACCATTACCGCATGCCTGAACAGAGAACCCAAAAGCATTGTAAGCTCTCTTGGAGATGAGTCTGCACTACTATGTTTATTACAGCACTCTGAGGTGAAGCAATATAAATGCCCAGTAACAGATGAATGGCCAAAGAATAAACCCAGGAGCTTCCCTTCGGTACCCCAGGAAAATGTGAAGCTGATTCTGTTACCACTTTTGGGGGAAAGGTGCCGAGAGTGGAACCCAGAGCCATACTCCCCGCTTTTCATCTTCTTACTTTCTGACTTATGTATGTATATATGTATATATTTTTGAGGCAGCGTCTCTCAATGTAGCACAGGCTGTCCTTGAACTCCCTGTATAGACCGGGCTAGCTCCAAAGCCATAGAGGTCCGCCTGCCTCTGCCTGTCTAGCACTGGAACTAAAGGTACACGCCGCCATCCCCGGCTTACAAGATTTATTTTAATCCTTTATTCTGTGTGTAGGTGTGACGCATGTGGAAGCCAGAGGCCAGCTTCTCACTAGTCAGCTCTCTGTCCACACTGCTTGTGAGGCGGGATCGCCTGTTATTTCGGCCGTTAGACTGAATACTCCAGCTTTCTCATCTTCCTCTCTGTCTCCTAGCACGCTTTAGGAGTGCTGATATCACGTGGGCTCTACAGACACAAGCTACCTACCACAGCTGGCCCTTTGCGTGGACTCTGGGCCTCGCTCGAGTTCAGGGGGGGCCCCAGGGTTGCTCCACAAGTGTTTTTTGCTGTTTTTTTTTTTAATCTGCTGATCTATCTCACTATCACTTTTGACAAACAAGGGAGTGTGAACATGGTTTAAGTAGCTTCCCTGGGGTTCGTACAGTCAAGAGCCGAAGGTTATAACTCTCTTGCTTTGTGTCTCTAGTTCCCAAAAGGTGACACCTTGACATTAGGTGACACAGTTGAGGAATAGACAAATCACAAGATCACACAGCCCTTTGTATATGGGGGTGGTCTCTCGTGAGGCTCTCATTAGCCTGTTCTTGTGCTGATGCACAAAGCCTTTCCTCGCTTCACACTTGCCTTCTGGTTGACATTTAGCTGTCTGCAGCTGTATTTCTTCTGATCCCTTGTACTTAGGACTCCTGATCTGGGGTCTGGAGGAGGTGGGGCTCTCCTTTCTTGGATTTTTACCAGTTTCTCATTAAGGTATTGTTCCTGGGTACAATGGACCCTGCGATCACACCTTGATGTACTTCCCTTTTCGTGTGCACACGGAGCTAGCTGGGCATTCATCATGCCTCTTTTCCATTGTCCCTGGAGAGGGAGGTAATCAAATGCTCTACTCTAAACCCTGGGTGAGCCCAGGTCAGCAAGATATGTGGCATTGAGATGCCACCCCACGAAGGAAAACGACTCCATGGCGGCTCACCTTGTTTGGGGCCTTGTTTGCGTTGCTGTGCCGTTGCAATGGAAAACGAATAAAAATAAAAACCCCAAGGCCCTTTTTGGCCAGCACTTGGGAAGCTAATCCCATTGTCCTGGCCAAATGCCAATTCAGGTCCCTGCACTCTGCTGGTCTCTTCTTGCAGTTCGCTGGGGATGTCAGTTTGCCCCTCTCCCACCCCCACCTCAAGCTGTGACTGGAACAGCTGTCTCTGCCTCACCCTGCAAGAGACTGCTGTGTTTCAGCAGGACTGGAAGGGGCCCTCTCTCCCTTGGCCAGCTCAGGGAGGAGCGACTGACCTGGGACCTAGGACCTGGGACCAGGAAATTGTTTGCTGCAGAGATGTGTGCCAGCCTGTCTGAACAACTTCCACACACCACAGAGTCACTGGCTTCTGTCGTGAAAATGACTTTCAGAAATTGCTAATGTCTTACCAGAACTCAGCATAGAATCCCACTATTTGTTTTAGGCAGATTTAAAATGTTTTTGTAGCTAAAGTACTTCAAATTTATCTCCCTTCCACACCAGCATGCTGCTGTTGCTTCTTCTAATTGCTTCCCCTAAAACTTCGCTCTCTTTCCGCTTCGAGATTTAGTGCATTTGGTGATAAGAGGAATGAGTCTGTACAAATTCCATCCAAACAATCATCGCGTGTTCCCAGTAACGGAACAGTCCTGGATGAATCGTGAATAGAGAAATATTTTCCTCTCTAAAACACATTTACCTTTTTTTGTTTGTTTGTTTGATGTCTATGAGTTTTTGCTTGCATGTACGTCTTGCATACACTTGCTTGGTGCCTGCAGAGGCCAGAAGAGGGCATGGGATTCCCCTGGAACTGAATTAAAGGTGAATGTAAGTCATCATGTGGGTGCTGGGAAGGAAACCCAGATCCTCGGCAGGAGCAATAAGTGCTCTTAGCCACTGAGCCATCTCTGCAGCACCAGCCCTCCTCCCAATTTTCAAACAGGCTCTGAGCCCAGGATGGCTCAGACCTCAGTGAGTAGCCTAGGCTGGCCTTAAGCTCACTCCAGCCATCCTGCCTCATCCATTTGAATGCCGAATGCCGCGGTAAGTGTGACTTCAACAAATGGCAACCTCTCTGAGAGCTAGTTACCAGATTCCGGGGGAGGAGTGGGGAAGGACAGAGCTGAGAGTGACACCTGACAGATAGGCTGTCCTAAGGATGGAAGGAGGTGACACATAACCCCTGAACTCACTGCGTGCATGGCAAGTTTGTCAAAGACAGCTTCTGTCCTGTCTTCCTTAGCTCCTTCTTCCTTTTGATCTGAATTAGCCTGATTTTGTGTGTGTGTGTGTGTGTGTGTGTGTGTGTGTGTGTGTGTTGATTGTTTCCTAGAACCGTGTCAGGTGCCATTGAAATCCTTGCTGAACCGCTCCCATGGTTCCCAGCTCAGGTTTTATGTTAAGAAACTGGTAACTTTAAGGGATGAGTTTGGGGTTGGGGATCCAGTTGAGGAAGTGCTTGTGAAGCATGGGAAGGCCTTGGCTCAGGTCCCAGCGCTGTATAAACTGGGCATGGTGGTGCATACTTGCAATCCCATCACTGGGGAGATGGAAACTGGGGGACCAGAAGTTAAAGGTCATCCTCAGCTACATGGCAAATTCAAGGCCAGCCTGGGCTACTTGAAATCTTGTCTCAAAAAAGGAAACAAGAAATACACAAATAAAATAGGACTGGGGAAGAGAAAAGGGGAGCAGTTACTTTTCTGGAAAACACATACTTGTGAATGCTTGGCTGTGCCTCCAGCCCCCTCTTGCCATTCCTTGGGTCAGAGAAGCCTCTTTCTGGCTGGCTGTGGCCTCGAAAACGTCCCCTCCCTTAGGCTGTCATGAGTGATTTTGGGGTGATATCTGAGTCTTGAAGCAAAAGCTCTATGTGAGGGCTGTTTACTTTTTGGGGTGGAAGGGTTGTAGCTGGCTTTGCTCTTACTGCCTTCCAGGAAGAAGGAGGGACTCCGCTCTCTTCTGATGAGTCATGGGGAGAGAAACTTCCAATGTTTGCAAACATCTTAGGCCAAGTCTTAGCTTCCTGGGGCTCTGCCCAGCCCCTACCAGGGCTCGCTGGACCACCTGAGAAGACTTCCCGGGAGGGAAGGAGGGTCATCTGGATGAGAGGTTCTGCCACCACCTGGAATGGAGAACAGCCAAGAGAAGGACAATTGTGTATCTCGGGACCCCAGCAAGTAAGGCAAGGGAGAGGATCTTCTGCAGGGATCTCTGTCTACAAACCAGGCCCTGCTCTGGTGATGTAAGAAGGTCAGGGACAGGAAGTGGGCTTTTGAAGCTGCAAGGCAGCCCAGTTGGTGAAGTACCCGCTATGCTCCGAGTTGGATCCTCATCACCATAAATCAGAATCACAAATTACCCTGTACTTTCCCTAGAGATCTGCCCTCTGCAGAGTCTCCTGTAAACCCAGTCCCAAGGTGGATGCCCTGACCCATGGGTGAAGGGTATTACAGGAAAGCAGGCAGGGCCTAGGTGAGGAGAAGTTTGCAGGGTCTTCCTGTCTAGGAGAGGTGATGGAGGAGCGGGCTGGAGAGGGTTGGAGCTGGGGGTTTGCAGGGATCTGCAGCTCCTCAGCTCAGACTACTGGAGCCAGATGGGACTCATGATGCTCCCAGATGGAACGGATCAGGCATGTCAGACACACTTCTCTCAGGATACACAGTGTTCCCCTCCTTCCCCCTCGCCAAAGTGAAGAATCACAAGGTGACTCAGGCGGGCAGCCAGACCCTGGGGATCTGTGGAGAGCTATCGGGTGGCTAGCGTGGGATCACAATAGACATCTAACTGTGCTCACGGGTCTGCCAATCACCCCTTCCACTATTGTGGGACATCAAGGGAGCAATCCTGTTCTAGGAATTTGTCCACAGCAACCCTATCTGCTGCTTGCTCTGTCTGTCCTTGGATTCCTGCCAGCCTGAAACTCTACCTGTTCACTGCTGCTGCCCCTACTGGGGAGCAGGGCCTTGGCATTAGTGCGGCCCTGAGACTCTACCCTGCTGGGGAGAGTCTCATCATTCACTAGTGAGCAAGTCTTCCATCACTCACTTTTTGGTTGGGCTAGGAGACTGAATCCTCTCTGTGCTTAGGAGACTCATGGGTTAAGGTCTAAGCACCTAGGGGAACTGGTGGGGAAGAACCGAGCAGAGAAATGTGTCCGCTGGAAGAGGGGGAATCACTGCTGTATTTAAAGTGCATTTCCCCCATCAGGAGACCACAGCTTTGAAAGCCCCTACGATACTTTGCTTTGCACTGCTATATGGCTCGCTTGCTCTCTCCTTTTTTCTTGCTTCCTGAAGATGGTGGTTTCCCCACCCAGAGCAACAACAGCAGAGAAAGAAAAGGGTTTCCTTAATTAATGTGTTTGCTACCTGCTCACCAGGGGTGGGGGAGTGGGCTAAAGGGTCTCAGAGAAAATGATTATTACACATTTATCTGGTCACTTGTGACTTCCTGAAGATCCCCGAACTCCTGGGACTTATAATTTGTTGTAAGAAGGTAGGTGACTGTGAAAGCTAGCCCATGTTATTATCCCAGGTGAGTTTGCCAGTGTCACTCCTTCCGCCCTGAGCCTGGACTGCTTGGTCCTGGATAGGCTGTATTATTTATGGCTCCCTTCTCAAAAGGACATGACCGTTCGCTGACCCTCCTCTTGTTACTCTCACACAGGAACCCACGGCTTGGATGGGCGGAGATGTGGGCTGGCGGCTGAGTTGGTTAGTCTGCTTTGTGGAAATGTGTGTGTCATGAGTGTGTGGGTGGGGTTAAAGCAATGGGTGAAAGGAGAGATTGGAGACAGAGAAGAGTGGCAAGCCTTGGGACTCCCCAGATCCAGAATTATGTAGAGAGAGGTGCATAGGAAGCATTTAAAAAGGAGTAGAAAGAAGGCTGACGGAGTTCCTGTGGCGGTGGGAGTAAGGGCTTCCAGAGGCACCAAGCCACAGCACCTAGTACTGTACGGGGGGACCTCTGCGAGTTCCAGGACAGCCAGGGCTACCTAGGGAGACCCTGCCTCAAAAATCAGTAGATAAATAAATAAAACCAGCCTGCTAAACTGGTGAGTTACAGACCGGAGTGGCTAGGAACTGCGCCTGCCACCACCTGGGACAGTTGGGAGGCAGAGGTGACTTTGCTCAAGTAGCTGGCCAGCCACTGTTAGTCTGGAGTCTGCTCCCAGGAGCTGGAGTTTGACACAGTCAGCCATGAAGAGGATACTTACTGATGTGGGGGAGGGGTGAGGAAGATTCTAGAGAAGATGCTCTGTTGAACTGTTTGGATTTCTCCAATGTTAGCTGTGAGGCACATAGAAACAACAATGGTCACAGAATGCTAGTGTGTGCCCAGGGTCGCGAGCCTCCACTCAAGTGAACTTTGTCTTCACACAAAGGCCTACAGCACAGAGATTTGGGGCCTGTTGTGGGCAAGAACTCCAGAACATAGCTCTCCCAAGAAGATGTGGGGCACACCTGAAATTCTAGCATTCAGGATTCTGGGGCAGAAGGATCTCGAATATGCAGCCAGCATTTCAATAGCGTGGCCCTTTCAGTCACCATTTCACTCAAAAAGCACGGGTCCAGAGCAAGCAAAAGGCGGCAGATGGGATCTTGTCAGAGGTCTTGGCGCCTTCTGGTCTCTCAGTGTAAGCATTTCATGATGCCAGATCTGGTCCTGTTGCTTAAATGGGTGTTTTTCATGGTACATGACCTTCAAGTCAGCTGACTACACCCACCAAAGGAAGGGTGATTCCAACACTAAATGACAAATTGTAAGGGGTAAGAAGGTGGGAACATCTTTAGGATCTTTACTTTCTTGACTTTGGAACCTCTGGTCAAAAGATCTATAACAGGGGCTGGAGAGATGGCTCAGCGGTTATGACCTCTGGCTGCTCTTCCAGTGGACCTGAGTTCGATTCCCAGCAACCACATAGTGGCTCACAACCATCTCTAGTGGGATCTGAGGCCCTCTTCTGGCATAAAGGCATACATGCAGATTGAGCATTCCTACATAAAATAAATAAATCTTGAAAAGAAAGAAAAGATTTGTAACAACTGAGGAATGACATCCAACCAATTAGTGTTTTAACCCTGATGAGTCACTAGAAGGCATGTTGGATAGCGACTTACACATTCTGCTTGTTAGACTGTGTGTCAGCCAAATCTGGAAGGGACCACTTAAGCACTCTTTGGGGACAGGGCTGGAGAGATGACTCAGTGCTAAAGAGCATTTGTTGCAGAGGATCTGGGTTCAGTTCCTAGCACTCACATGGCAGAACCATCTGTAACTCCAGTTCCAGGATGTCTGATACCTTCTTTTGGCCTCCGAGGGCACTAGGGACTCATGTAGTGCACATACATGTGAGGCAGGACACTCCTACGCATAAATAAATCTACATATTTTTTCTCTTATTGAAAATAGTCTTTTCTCATACAATATACCTTGATTATAGTTTCCCCTCTCTCCTTGAAGTCCCCTCACTTCCTCTTCTCTTCAGATCCACTTCCTTTCTGTCTCTCAAGAATGGGCTTCTAAGAGATAACCACCAAACATGACAAAATAAATTATAATAAGATGAAGTAAAAGTTATCAGAATATAGAATGCTTCACACATTTGCATATCATCCTTTCACGGGGCAACCTAATCTTCTCTGTATTGTTCCAATTTTAGTATATGTGCTGCCAAAGTGTGCACAATTCTAAATGTTTTTAAAGAGAGAGAGAACTTAATGTTTTTGTAGAGGACTGGAGTTCTTTTCCCAGTACCCATGCTGGATAGCTCACAAGGAGCTATAACTCCAGTTTCAGGAGATCTGAAACTCTGGCCCTCTTCTGGCCTCCTTAGGCACCTGCACTCATGTGCACATACTCTCTGCAGATACACACACAAATACACAGTTAAAATAAATCTGGGGTCTGAAGATAGCTCGTGGTTAAGAGCACTGGCTTCTCTTTCAAAGGAGCCAGGTTCTATTCTCAGTACATACATAGTGGCTCACAGTTATTTGTCCCTCCAGTTCTAAGGGATCTGATGCCTTCTTCTGGCCCCCAAGGGCACCAGGTACACAGTGGTGCATAGGCACACATGCAAGCAGAACACTCATTCACATAGAAAAAATTTAAAAAATGACTGCTTAAAAATGAAGACTCAAAAAGATCATAATAAGCCCCAAACCATTCCATTATAGGCGGGCTCAGTGCCTGGGATACACATAAATCAACAAGCTAAGTATACCATAAATAGATTTAACAGGACTATGGTTCTCACGGAAAGGATTTGGTTTGAGTTCGCTAACACTACGATGTGAAGTGGAAGGATTCAGGGCAGAGGTGGGTCACGCTCAGCGTGGTGTGCTCAGGATTGGGCGTGTCCAGAGATGCTGAGGGGCTGAGACCTGCACTACAGGAAGCCAGCACCGGGGCCCCACTGCTCTTTATAGTTAGGAGAGAAGACCTTAGTGCAATAAAGATCTTGACATACTTAAAAGGATCACTCGAGGGATTAGGCTTGTTCAGGGTGGTTTTAGAGAGCTAAATAAGAGTGAATGTAGCTAAGAGAAGGTAGATTCTGCCCAGAATGGGACTGCTTTAATGATTAGAGCTGTCCAAATATGGAGCAGACTGCCTCTTGTGGCCTCCACCACTTCACAGGAGGCCTGCAGAGGGCTGAGAATTGGCCAGGCCTCTTTTGCAAGTCACCTCTCGGCTTTTCTATCCAAACAGCTTTTTAAACTAACCTGCCTTTTATTAGATAATGTCGTCTTTTACTGATGCTTCTGAAGGTCTTTGGTCACACTTCATCTTTCTGCATCGCAGTCTCTCCTTTCCCTTTCCTTCCTGTCCTCAAGTGATTGAGTGCGAGACTTGCTGGAAGACAGTGTCACCTTGCAAACAAGAAGAGAATACAGCACTGTGCATAAAACAAACTGAACCCCAACTTTCTATTAAAAAAAAAAAAAAGGCAGGTTCTTGGCTGACCTGGAATTCACTATGTGGACCAGGTTAGTCTCAAACTCATATCCTCCTGCCTCTGCCTCCTGCCTGCTGGAATCAAAGGCATGTGCCCCTACACCCTTCCTATTCCTTCTTCTTTTTAACTGAGATAAATCCCTTAATTATTTATGTTTCTCTCAACCTTATTTCTAAATAAGAGTAACCAGGGATTCTGCCTTTGGGAGTCTGGGTTCCTGAGCAGTTCCAACAACCTCTAAGCAAGGGGTCTCAGAGATAACAACAGGCAGAGGAAACAAAGGCCTATTTGGTGTGATAAACTGCCTGGGGCCCATGCTGAGATAAAACAAAGTCAAACTGTTAGTTTAAGGGAGCATTCCAGCCTTCAGTGAAAACAAACAAACAAAACCTTGCAAAGAACATTCCAGAAGAGCAATGGTCGTGGTAGCAGTGCCTATGAGAATACAGACCGGTCTCATCTCTGACGGCCCTATAATGTAGTTTTGCCTTCTTTTTGTTTTAAACCTGTTTCATAGCCATTCTCATAAGGCAAGTTGTTTAGAGGTCTTGTTCATGAATGGAAAGCAATGACCTAGAGTCCAGCAGACATTTGCTGAGGCCTTCGTGCTGGCACAGCCCTTTGCAAGTTACTAATGGGTTGAGAAAGGTGGGACTCTCATTCACTTAAACTGCAGGTTCTCAAGAAATGATGAGGGGATGCCGAAGACTAACAAGACAGACAAGCTGTGTTCTCATGGAGCTCATGTCTGGGGGTGCTCCCACCAGACACTTAGGAGAAAGGCAGTAAACAGCTAAACAAAAACTTCGGGGTTCTAGGGGAAGGGGGACTCTGAATAATGTGATAGAGGGAGCATTGGGGAGGGGAGCTGCTTTAGGTAAGGAAAGCAGCTTTCAGGAGGGGGCAAAAAATGAAGAAGATGGCCTGAGAGAAGTACCAGGAACCCAGTGAATTGCTCAGACAACTTCCAAACATGACCTTCCTGCCCTCAGTGCCTCTTGCTGTTGGTGTGAAACAACCCGAAGCCAGGCAGAACTGGAACACAGGTAGGCCAAAGACCCCCCACCTCCCAGCTCTCCATCACCACACCCCCACCTAGCAGGCTGTCACCTGATCCTCCTGAAGAGGCTGTGACCTAACCAGTTTCCACCTTGCTTCTAGGGAGTGCATTGCTATACACTAGAATTTTTGTTTGTTTGTTTCGTGTAGGGTTCTGTTGGTCGTTTTCCAAGTATCAATCAGAACTGCATGCCAGCCTCCACTCCTTGGAAATAATTAAATGAAATGACGTACTTCGTTTTTTTCAGTCTGGTAAAGCACTGTGATTTGCATCTGTTGAAGGAATCTATCTTAAGTCTTGAGGCGGAGCCCTGTGGGACGACTCAAGTGATGGAGGGGGGGGGGAGCGTTGCTAAAACACTTGAGTGGACGAAATGCTTTATTTTGCAACTGATTCCCATCAGGAAGCTGCTCTTTGTGAAAATATTCGTGAATTCATTGCAAAGGTTCCCTCCCCCCTTGTTTAGTATGTCTTCCCACCTCCCTTTGCCTTTTAAATTTATTTTTTATATTTTAGACACAGTACAACACTGCAGACTGGTTCTAAACTCAAGTGTCCGAGAATGACCTTGAACTCTTGATCCTATTGCTTCTCCCACCTCTGCGTTCCGAAACCACAGGCTGGATGTCACACTTGACTCAGTACCATCTCTTTATATTTGCAAAATTACATTTCATGCTAGGCTCTAAACAGACCTCACCGACAGAGCAGATGATTTATGGTTTAAGAATAGGTTTGGGATTGAAGGCTCCTCTCTCTCATTGCGGAAAGTGGAAGTCTATATAGCAACCTTCATTTTAAAGCCAAAGCCAAGCACCTAGCAAACGCGTAGTTGCTACAGCATAACCTATGACTTCTATGCAGACGTATGTCAAAGGCTGTGTGGGCTACTAAAACGAAATAAAACTTCCTTCCTCCTCCCTCAAGAGTGGGATTCCCTGTCGGGGTACAGAACCCGCAGGGGAAGGAAGGGCTGGTGTTGGCGTGCGATGGAGATGGGGCTCTCGGCTGGGGGTGTGGGATGCGGTGTTCCCGAGGCGACAGATGAGCGACTTTGGCTGTGTGGGAAGGGAACTGCGGAATTCCTCCCTTTGGTGGCTGATGGGGGGGGGGGGGGTTGCGCTCTGAAGGAGACGTTAGGATGCAGAGCACGGCTCGGGCTGTCCAGGGCGCGGAGGCGAGCCAAGGACACCCGTCCGAACGCGCCTGGGTCGCCCGCGTTCCGGCACCTCCCTGTCACCGCGCGCCCCAGACAGTCCCCCAGCGGCCGGGCAGTGAGCGCTGAGCGCCCACCCGTGGGCCCCGCGCTCGGATGACACGCGAAAGTCACGGCCGAGAAAAGCCGAGGCCGTGCTCCGCTCGCTCCGGCCTCAGCCAGCTAAGCCCTGCTGCGAAGACGGCCTGCGCGCACACGCGCGCGATCTCGATCC